TTGGGTTTTGTCATTTATAGTTCTTATATATTTTCCTCTCTCATGACCCTAGTGCTGTGTTTCCTACCATGTATTATATAAAGTAATAAGTAGATTATTATAGTGTAAAGACTATTACACATGTAACAAGTTTAATGTCTTACATACTCAAGAAGAAAGCCAGCTAATTTTGTTTTGTTTTTTTTCTAATTAATCCCTCTAACTTCCCACTGTCAGCATGGCCATCACTTTACAAATAAGAAAAGAATCATAGGTATCCCTCTTGAAGTTCTCTCTTCTCATTGCATTCTCTAGGAACCCTGCAGGCCTGTATGGTCCAGAAAGGTGTGTGGAAGGTGGGAGAGACCTGCTACCTTGTCTTACTCCCCTCATAGTATTCAAGACTGGTTAAGTACAGCCCAGCAAAATCTCTCTGGGCTTTCATGGTTGTACCCCTAAAAACTCAGCTGTGTCATTTCATGTATACAGACACACACAGCACCCTAGTGCCCAAGGAGGTCAGGAACACACCGCTTTTCTTCCCTGAGGTTTTACCATCATGGTACAGAAAGTTTTTCCTTTTAAACTCTCAAAGAGAAAACTCTAAATAGAGACCCTTTGCCTGGCCTGTGGCACTACTTTTGCACTCTACACCTTATTAAAGGAGCCTATCCTTGGTGATTCTGGGAGGCGCTTTATCATCCTTCGAAGGGTAACATCCCAGATGGTTCCAAGATACTAAGTTGATTATCTGTTGCTTCCTCACAGAAGAGAAGAGAAAAGGGACTCACTTATACATGTGTATTTACAGCTCCCAAAATAACTGGCATTAAGACTTATGGGTAAATTTGAGTCCCACTCACTTGTGAAGATTTTCTAATTTTTTCATATTCACACAGTCCTCCAATCTTTGCACTTCTGTTTTTGTGAGAGTGTCTTCCATTTTAGTTTATAATTTATCTCTTTTTATGTAAATTAAAAATAAACAAATCCAGAATTCCAACTTAATATTTAGTGAAGAATATAAGCTGTGGCAATTGAAATACTTGTTTCAGCAGGTCCAGTGCAGGCTCTGGGTTCTCACAGACCTACTTGGGAATTGGCCATTGAGCTTGATGAAGTAGAGATTACTGGTGACCTTGATAAAAGAAGTTTTTCTAGTATGATAGGGATGGGAATGGATTCAATAGAGAACGGAGGAGGATTAGATGCAGTAAGTTTTAAAACCACTTTTAAGAAGTTTTTAAATGAAAGGGATCAGACCAAATTTGACAGTTGTTGGCAGTTGTGAAGTTAAAGAAGAGATTTTTTAAAATATGGGAGACACATAATAGCATATTTTATACTGATAATAATAATCCAAAAGAGTTGGGTAAAGTGATGATCCTAGGGAAAAAAGAGTGCAATCTAGAAGTGATATATTAATAATTTCATGTAATCGCACAATGTGGTATACTGTTGTGAAGGAAAACTACGTGGTACTTTGAAGACAATATTGCGTTATTCACATCTTTAAATTTTTATAAATTTATTTTTTCTGCAGAAATAACATATTTTCAAAATCATATTTAAGACAAATCTTAGCACCCTTATGTCTATGAAAAATGATTCCAGTCTTTGTGTAACAGTGTGGGTGGGGAAGACACTCTTGAAAAGATGGAAAGAGACCTGGATCATCTCCTTTTGGCACTAACCAGCGGAGTGTCACTCACCTGCACAAGTCATTGAACTTCTGGGCCTTGATTTTCTTATTCATAAAACATGTTGAATTGGCCCATCATGTGAGGTTTCCTCTCTCATTGGCAGTACATAAAGGGATGGGATACTTTTTATTCTCTATCTGATTGATCTGTGAAATCCTTAAGACCTGAAGTCATATTATGTCTTTGTATCTCTGAGAATTCTAGTATCTAGTGCCTAGTTTTTAGTCAGTCCTAAGATTTCTCGTTTGAATAAAATCTTATCTTAATCTGTAAAGAAGTAAAATAGATGAGAGCAGAACCCCTCCCTTCTCCCTGGGCTCTGCCTGCCTTTTTTTTTTTTTTTTTTTTTTTTTTTGAGACAGAGTCTAGCTCTGTCACCCAGGCTGGGGTGCAGTGGCATGATCTTGGCTCACTGCAACCTCCACCTCCAGGGTTCAAGCAATTCTTCTGCCTCAGCCTCCTGAGTAGCCGGGACTACAGGTGCATGCCACCATGCCTGGCTAATTTTTGTATTTTTAGTAGAGATGGGATTTCACCATATTGGTCAGGCTGGTCTTGAACTCTTGACCTCATGATCCACCCGCCTCAGCCTCCCAAAGTGCTGGAATTACATGCGTGAGCCACCGCACCTGGCCTCTGCCTGCTCATTTTTAGAGAAGTGCAGCACTTAGGAAAACACTAATCTTTCAGGTTTTTAAAATTACATTTAAAGGTTGATGATTCACGAACATAGTAATTCTTCTTCACCCAGAGAATTTCAAGTTACTATATATTTCCAGTCACTCAGGATGAGGATAACTTTAAAAGGAAGGAACTGGGCTTTGGAGGACCATAAGGAGGTAAAGAGATGATAGTACTAGGTAGAATTTGCTGATGATATAAACCTTGTGGGAGAGAAAAGCATCTATGTGAAAGGAGAACTCAAAGTCTAGTAAGAGGGACTGACCAGGCCAGATCCATGGGTGGTGGGAGCTGAATTTGAGTTAGGATTACTTAGTCCTTGTATATCAGGGAGGAATATGGGCGTAGGGTGGAGAAAAAAACCCAGTGTATGCATGAAGGTTTGCAAAGCAGACAAATTACACTTCACTTCAAAGATCACAGTAAAACCCAGTAAAATAAGAACCAACAAGTGAGTCATAAAATAAGAATGGGTGGAAGATGTGACATGGAGAGAAAATGCCTCTTAGTATGTTTATTATCCAAAACAAATCAAAATTAATTTCTGTACAGTTTGTTGAAATTAGGGAAAAAAGAGAATCTGAAGAGTTCCTAGTAAGAACTTTAAAAATTGGAAATTAATCATACTTATTAATTTTTTGTACATAATTAATTGTAATAATTTTAAGAACTATTGTTTTCCTATTATGTTATCAACTACAAATTTTCTCACTAAAATGATGTTTCAGGAGCATAAAACTGATAGTTGGGAAGAAATACAGTCTCATTCTTTTTTACAGAATCAAGTCAAGCACCACAAGTATTACTTTTTAATATTTTGCAGAAATAAAGACCCAACTCAATGGATTGCTACTTTTGGTACAACTATAACACCACCCGCAGTGAAACGAAATTTGAGGAAAATTATTCTTCATGAGAATTACCATAGAGAAACGAATGAAAATGACATTGCTTTGGCTCAGCTCACTACTGGAGTTGAGTTTTCAAATACAATCCAGAGAGTTTGCCTCCCAGATTCGTCTATAAAGTTGCCACCTAAAACAAGCGTGTTTGTCACAGGATTTGGATCCATTGTAGATGATGGTGAGTAGTTTCAACCTAATTTTCTTAGCACAAAAATGTCTTAAGATCAAACGAGCTATCTAAAGGAATCCTTCTTAAGTTTTTAATAAAAGTAATGGTCTTTTCAATGTGTGTGGGCTTGGGCAGAACAGGGGACTAGGGGTTAAAAAGTAAAAATCAGGTCCTGTCTTTGAGTTTACAGTTGGAGCAGTGGTGGCCGGGTGTGGTGGCTCACACCTGTAATGCTAGCACTTTGGGAGGCCGAGGCAGGTGGATCACCTGAGATCTGGAGTTCTAGATACGCCTGGCCAACATGGTGAAAACCGCATCTCTACTAAAACACACAAAAAATTAGCTGGACATGTGGTGTGCACCTGTAATCCCAGCTACTTGGGAGGCTGAGTTAGGAGAATTGCTTGAGCCTGGGAGGCAGAGGTTGCAATGAGCCAAGATCGGACCACTGCACTCCTACCTGGGTGACAGAGCTAAACTCCGTCTCTAAAAAAAAGAAGAAAGAAATCTCCATAATTGGAGCAGTGGAAAAAAAAAAGTCAGGGAAAGAGACTTAATATAGAAGGAAAAAAACAACTACATCAGGTGATATAAGAAGGGACAGAACACTACGGGAGTTCAAGGCAGTAAGTAGTCACAAATTTTGTCTTTTCCTGGATATAAATACGTTACATATACTTTAAGTCACATATATTTTATTTTAATCAGCATGTACTTTAAATCACAAATGTAATGATAGCATTTTCCTTTATTTTAATTCTTTCTCATTATATGAGAATTTATGATGGTCATAAACATTAAAATGGTTTATAAATATTTTGAGCAATTTTTTTGGTTAGTTAATAAAATCTGTGTCTTTTTCCTCTGTCCAACCTACTAGGGGTGTTAAAAGACATCAAGTCTAGTAATTGTATAAATTAAATACCAGAACTTAAGATTTCTAGGTACTAGTTCACTCTACTTTAAAGAGAAAGATGAGGCCAGATATGATAGCTCACGCCTGTAATACCAACACTTTGGGAGGCTGAGTCGGGGATCACGAGGTCAGGAGATCAAGACCGTCCTGACCAGCATGATGAAACTCCTTCTCTACTAAAAATACAAAAAAAATTAGCCAGGTGTGGTGGTGGATGCCTGTAGTCCCAGCTACTTGGGAGGCTGAGGCAGGAAAATTGCTTTAACCTGGGAGGTGGAGGTTGCAGTAATCCAAGACTGTGCCATTGCACTCCAGCCTGGTGACAGAGCAAGACTCCGTCTCAAAACAGAAAAAGAAAGAGAGAGAGAGAGAGAGAGAGAGAGAGAGGGAGAGAGAGAGAAAGAAAGAAAGAGATTAACTGAATGTTTTAAGGAGAAATAAGAAATACTTAAGTTTCACCATCAGTTGGTGCGTTCCATGGCGAACACATCATGGCAATTGAAGGTGGAGAGAGAACATGTGGAGTTCATGAACTTATCTGTTTTAGAAAAGTATCTCCAGAGGCAGTTGGATTTTCGTCAGCTGTTGGGGTATTATCTTGATGCTGCTTCTTTTTCTCTATATTAATAAGCAGTTCTGTTTTGAAAATGTTGGAGGGCTTCCAGATCTTGGTTCAGAATAGAGTACAAGGAACAATTCACAAGATAAAATTTGGCCGTGACTCCCAAATGATAATGTCAGAAATGTTGTGTAGTGAAAGCATATCCTCATGTCAGTCTCTTGAACTCGGCTCAGTTCCAGAAATTCTCATTAGCCTGTTTTGTAATGCCACAACTGGAAGACTATCAGCAGAAGTGATAAAAGGCAGCCTATTCAAAAATTTGGCAGCAAATAGACCACCCAATACATATATTAAGTTAACTCTGCTGAAATCCATGGATCAAGAGATGTCCAAATGCAAGATACCCATCTGCAGAGGGCAGCCAAATCCAGTGTACAAGGAAACTTTTGTTTTTCAAGGGGCCCTATTTCAGCTTTCTGATGTGACACTCATACTGACTGTGTATAACAAACGCAGCATGAGAAGTAAAGAGATGATAGGCCGGATTTCTTTAGGTCACAACAGCTCTCTGGAGAAGAAGAACTCAATCACTGGACTGAAATGAAAGAGTCAAAAGGACAGCAAGTACATAGATGGCATGCGTTGCTAGAGTCATGATGAATAGAATAAGCAAACAGTTACCATCCAAGGCAACATATTTCCAATTACAACATTACTGTTTCTGCCAAGTCGCCATTAGAAGAGCTGTTCTTTGAAGAATCATATTCAACCTTTTCGAAAAATGCTTTAAATTCTGTGGAAAGAACATCTCATACTGACATAAATGAAGAAAATATGTGTATCTGGTAGAGCTTGTTTGGGAAACTGAGAAATGTACATTATCATTGCTAAACTAATAGTCCTCCAGAAATTTAATAAGGTGTTATTGATTTGAAGTTAATTTTAATTTAGCAAAAGAGCTAGTAATTTTATTAAAAATCAAAATTATAAGTGATTTTAAAAATTAGAATTTTAGTTGCAATATAATTTTAATATCACCCTACATATTATTTATAAAACATAGCTTGGCCAGTCCCTGGTGTTTGTAATGTTCTTTAATATGAAAAAGTAGTTCTCCAACCCTATCATAAGTCATATCTAATGGCGAAGAGTTTCGGTCACATTGAAAATTGTTTTATTTCAGACATGTTCCCTTTGTGCACTTAGTTTCATTGTGCCTCAGTTCCTCTCTATAGCACTAAATCTAAGTGCAAACAAGTATTCATTTTCATACAGGAATGTTTTTAATATGTTTTTTTTTTTTAAGATCATTTTTCATTTGCCTCTGCTTTTGCCTAATCTGAAGAGATAAAGTCACTGTGTTGGTCCCTTGCAAGTCTTTTAGACAGGTTGTACTGTAGAACTATGTAACTTCCTGTTGAATGCACTTCCTGTATTCTTGTATTCCAATGTAGGAAGCTAGTAGAGCAGGACTTTACTTTAAAATTTCTTTCAGTGATTGACTCTTCAAAAATTGCAGTAACGTGAAAATACGTTTTTTTTTTTTTTTACAAACTGAAAATACAGCAGATAAGCTGTAGAAAATGAAAAATAATTCAATTTTAATTTTCTGCTCTAAGTAACCAACACTGTGTAAAGCAGGTAGCATCCAAAATAATAAACTGTTCTCTCTCTAAATCTTCACTCTTACTTCAATTTATATTTGTGATATAAAGAGTATGCAGTTCTCAGTATGAATCAGAATATCATGTTAAAAAACAGTTCTGTGATTCCTTATGAAGTTTCCAGTAACTTGTGACTAGACTTTAAGAAATTTACAGATAAAGTTCTTCAACGTGATGTTATCTTGTGCCTTTCATGTAAGTAAAATTTGCTCATACAGCTTGAAAGTTGTATTTGCAAAATTAAGCCTTCGATTTTTATAAAGGTAACGATTCCTCAGAACAGTGTCACAAGATCTTTATTTCCTCCGAGATATGTAAAAGTTGTATAATGTGCTAATTTTTTAAATGACAAGGTACTTTCATTTGTTTTTATATTTAGGAACTCTAATTAATCAGGAATATTATAAGCTGTTTTCTTTTTAATTTTTCTTCTTATCTAATCTATCATTTTATGCATATACTTTATTAGGGTATGTTTTATATATATTAAAAATAGTTTCTTTTTTCTCCTCACTTCTAGTTAAAATATATAAAAACATACTATTTATCAGTTACTAAAAAGCAGTATATCATTGCTCCTAGTCCCAACTAAGTGCTATATATTATTATAAACTAGAACTTGTTATTACCATAATAACAAAACAATGCATAGGCATTACTTCAGCTTGGCTATACCAAAAGGCCTTAAAAGAAATCCAAAAAGACCGTGATATTCTATATTTTTTCGTTTAAAAAATGGCAGCTCTATGCATTCATACACATGAATTATAAGAAAAAACACAAAAGCTATATTGGATGACTTGAGGTTTGAGAATGTGTGTTACAGGGCCGCATTAAAAGGAAAAATTCACCTTTTATTGTTACATCCAAGAGCTTTTTCCAGGATTTTTCAAATAAACTAGTAAGAGTTAGAACCTGGAAAAAAAAAAAAAGAGAGAGAGAGAGAGACACTTAAGTTTCTTTCAAGGATATCCTGAAAAAAACAAACAAACAAAAACTAGTGCTAATATTATATATATATATATATATTTTTTTTTTTTGAGACGGAGTCTTGCTCTGTGGCCCAGGCTGGAGGGCAGTGGCGTGATCTAGGCTCACTGCAAGCTCCGCCTCCCGGGTTCACACCATTCTCCTGCCTCAGCCTCCTGAGTAGCTGGGACTACAGGCACCCGCCACCACGCCTGGCTAATTTTTTTTATGTGTGTGTTTTTAGTAGAGACAGGGTATCACCGTGTTAGCCAAGATGGTCGCGATCTCCTGACCTCGTGATCCACCCGCCTTGGCCTCCCAAAGTGCTGGGATTACAGTCGTGGGCCACCGCGCCTAGTCATGTAGTGCTAATGTATCTTAATCTAGCTTTTTTTTTTTTTTTTGACAGAATTTTATTATATGAAAAGTTTTCCAAATGCTCCATGCATATCCAACTTGGCTTTGTGAGATGTTCTTAAAAGTCTCTTACAGCTAGCACAGGGGTATTCACCAATAGCTTCAACCCAGAGCCCTAAACTACTTATTTTCTGTATTCAACTAGGCAGTATCCTCTCCTCCTAACATCCAGTCCCGTTCTGTATTGTCATCAGATCACTGATGCATATATTGGGCATTAATTTTGCTTCCCATGCTGTGAGATACCCCTAAATAATACATGACAGAGTAGAGTAGGGTGAAGAGATCGGTGCAGCTGTGTCCTGGTTTCTACGTGAATAGCTTTAGGAATATCAGTGAACTTCCAGGGGCCATGGTTTCCTTATACGGAAAATGTGGCAGTTGGACAAGACCAATGTTATGAACCTCTATGAGAATCTAATGAGGACTAGGGGCCCTTTCCTCATGAAAAAAATGCATGCATATGTAATATTTCACATGTAGTTTTAAAGCTCCTAATAGCCTTGAGAGATCTACAAATGTGATGTAATACTGGGACATGTATATTTATGGCTCCTTGCATGTAGACATTTATGGCACAGAAAATAAGATGATACCTAATGTTAATAAAATAATCTTTGGCTTTTGCTACTGAGAATATAAAATGTACAATTTATGTGTCTTTTATGTCTTAGATACAATTGTATTTGAGGAATATCGTTTATTTGTTTCTTTGTCCATTTGTGCAATAGGACCTATACAAAATAAACTTCGGCAAGCCAGAGTGGAAACCATAAGCACTGATGTGTGTAACAGAAAGGATGTGTATGATGGCCTGATAACTCCAGGAATGTTATGTGCTGGATTCATGGAAGGAAAAATAGATGCATGTAAGGTAAGTTTAAAGTAAAGGCCAAAAGTTTGTGGGGAAAGTTTCCATTAGCTATTTCTGACTTTGGCATATATTTTACCTAGGAGAAAAAAAAAATGGCATCTCTTACACCAAGAACTGAGTTTATTTAATAATCAAAACAATAATAATAATTGTATTGAGTGTTTAATATATGCTAAGCCAAAAATTAAGCACTTTTTATACATTATTTCATTTAATGTAATGAGATAAAAGCAATATCATAATTATCCTTATTCATCCCCCAGCCTCCCAGTCATTTCCCTTCGCCCCTTGCATTTTTTAATGACAGCGACACCTGAAACAGGTTTTCTTTACAGTAGATCTTGAGATCTACTGCAAAGGCCTGCAGTAGCCCTGCGTTAGCAACACTGACCTGTTTAAATCCTGGACTTTTAGTTCCTAGACCTCCTCTTCTCCAATGATCTTCTATACTCTTCAGCCACCTCAGACCTTCCTCTTAGAGTCATACTATGGGCCTTGTTATCAAAAACTGCTCCATCTCCAAAAATGCTTATTTACATCTTCCTTTTTGACTCCTATCCCCCAGTGTTTCCCCCTTGCTTTTTAACTACTGCTTCCCTAGATACACTTACTATGTTACACCCTAGTCTACCAACTCTCATTCCCAACGTGCACAACCTACATGGACATTCCTTGTGTCCTTTCTTTGTTCTATTTTTCTCCTTAGGCTTTGTCACCATGCAGTATGCAGTATTTTCATTTATCTAGCTTATTGCCTATTTCTCCACTAACTAAAATGTAAGCTTCATGAAGGAAGACATATTTTAATCTATTTTATTTACTGCACCTGAAATAGACTGGTGAAAATATGTGTTGACTGAATGAAAAACAGTCTTTTTTCAACTTCATGGACACCTATTGTCCATTGATTTCTCTGTTTTCTCACAGTTCATTAATCCTTTCCTTTCTTCCATCTTCTACTTTTCCAGCTCAGATTTCACTATTGTTTTTTATTGATAAATCATAGTTGTATTACATCTACGGAGTACAATGTGACATTTGATACATGTATACAATGTGGAATGGTTGAGTAAAACTAATTAACATATTCATCACCTCACTTAACTTTTTTTGTGATAGACATCTAAATTTTACTCTCTTAGTTATTTTGAAGTCTATAATAGAGTATTATTGATTATATCACCCTGCTTTGCAGTAGATCTTAAAACTTATTCCTCCTTGCAGAAACTTTGCACCCTTTGACTAGCAACTGCCCCTTCCCTCACTCTCCACCACCCTAGGCCCACCCAGACTCTGGTAATCATCAGTCTACTCTCTACTTCTATGAATCCAACTTTTTTAGATTGCACATATAGGTGAAATGATGTATATGTCTTTCTGTGCCTGGCCTATTTCACTTAGCATAAATTCATTTATGTTGTCCCAAATGGACAGAATCTATTCTTTTTATGGCTGCATAATATTTATTTTGTAAATATACCATATTTTCTTTATCTCTTCACACACTGATGAACCCTTAGGTTGATTCCAAATCTTGGCTATTGTGAATAATGCTGCAGTGAACATGGGAGCACAGATATTCCTTTGACATACTGATTTTAATTTTTTGAATATATTCCCAGAGGTGGGGTTGTTAGATCATATGATAGTTCTGTTTTAGTTTTATAAGGAGCCTCCATA